CACCTACCCACCTACCTCATCCCCAAACCCCAAACCCCAAACCCACATTTCAATTCTCAATTCTCAAATCCGTACATAATTCAATCTCAATCTCAATCTCAACCTCAATCTCAATCTCAAACCTCCACATGAAAACCCCAACTCCAAACCCCAAACCCAAACCCCAACCCAAACAAGAAAGAAAAGAAAAGACGAAAAGAAGAATCAACACTACAATACCTACATGTATATCATTCCTAAATTTCACAGAACAAACAATGAATCAATCAATCAATCTATCAATCACTCAATCCATCCACACAATCACAAAATAAACTCATCAAAATCCAAGATAAAATCCAAGTATCAAGATTCAAGATTCAAAATTAATCAATAACTAATAGGGGGTATCCTTTCTCTATCTTCCATTTGCTCTTCCATCAAATCTTCCATCGTATTAATCTCTTCACCTATTCCCATCTTCTTTCCTTTCAATTCAACTCCCGTTTAGTCCAATCCAATCCAATCCAATCCAACCCATTCAATTCCATCCTTCTTCCTATTCTCTTTCATCAATGAATCAATCCGATCTAATCTTCCAATCCAATCCAATCCAATCCATCAACCAATATATCTTCCTTCCCTTCTTCAAAACAAAATTCGTTACATTAAATTCTCCCTCGCTTGCCCGAGATAGTGTCAACACACTCACTCACTCACTTAGTTACTTACATAGTTACGCAATGCAGTGCAACGTGATGCAATGCTATGGTATACTACATCCATCCATCCCGCGTACATATTCTTCCTACCCTCCACTGTCGTGATCGGACCCCTGGTCATACAGCAGGGCGAAATGAAAAACAGAAAAAAAAGGCTATCTACTCATACATACATACATACAACACAATGCCCAGTTCATCTATCATACATTAATATTATCATCCAATCTCCAGTTGAAGTCGATCTCAGCTCACTCATCCTCTGACCCCCACCTTCCATCACGAAAGAACTTTTTCAATCTTAACCAACAAAAGTCCTTCCGTTGTATTCCCCTTGATATCTTTCAGTCGAATCAGTCGATAACCCTGTTGAAGACGATCTAGCCTTATGCACGCCCAGGCTGCTAGTTCATCTTTGGAGTAATTCGCGTCTTCAATTTTAAATCTATGTGATGAAAATGTTAGTACGATGATAAAGACGACGTGATATGTATGGTTTTCATAGGTTGCAGGAAGTTTGGGGCAATATTTGGACGAACGAATGGAGATTGGACGAATGTGAAAGAAGAGGAATTGAAGCAAGAAAGAGTAAGAGGAAAGAAATGAATGACTAGGGTAACGTTGCATACACACACATCATACATGAGGTAGACGTGTGCAGTAAATAATGGAATAATGTTCCATAGATGAAGAAAACGAGTGATGTAATAGTGATAGTGATGAAAACATGCATTTCATCTCGATGCAAAACTTCAACGAAAGGAAGAAAATCGAACCACAAAACAATCCTGGTTTATGAGTGTGGTTGAGAACGCGCCATGTGTAACATTGAATTGGGGAACTAGAGGCCGAACTTCGTCAATGCACGGGATGGGCTGACAATCATACTACTGATTCGACAAGGAAGTATGCAGCGGAACCCCACCCGAGCAGCCAAGCGTCGGAAGACCGTTGGTCTACCGCACTCTTAAATTAATCTGCATTGATACTGACCATCCGGCTCCGGGCCGTTGCGTTGTTGAAGATTGAGGAGATTGAAAAGCTCCGATTTGAGCTTTGTAATATGTACCAGACACTTGGGTGAAAGCTTTTGGGACTGAGCGGTGTGACATAATAACAGGTTTATGATTTATCAACACTGACAATCAAATCATATGAATGTAGACCTTGTCTAATTCCCTGCATATGTAACTCGTGAAAGGATAAATAGAGAAATGTTGAAGAAAAGTAGTGTGACATGTACTAACCTGACAAAGCTTAACTCCTCCACCACGTTCCTGATACCTTCAAAATGAAGGGTTTCGCCTTCAAAATCGGGTTTACTGCCCGATTTATAGGCCGTCTTGAGTTTGTGTTCGCCCTCTTTTGCTTTGACATCATTTCCGATTGGTTGCCCGTTGAGCTCTTCTTGACTTTCAACGTGCAGCTCGCATTTGACGTACGGATGGAAGCCCTTTTCCGTCTCACCTTCAGGGAAAGGAATTTGTTGGCCTGCAAATATGGAGATCTTCAAATCCAGGGTCTTGTAGGGTATATTTGCCCATATATCGGATTTTACGTCCTCACTGCGATAGCCAGGAGGCTTCAATATCCATCCTTGAGACCCGGCAAACATTCCCTCATTCAACATCATACCTTCATCCAATGTTTGCCAATTCAGAGCAACCATTTGAATGCCCTTACGCCAACAGACGGAAGGGTCAAGATTGGATGAGTCAAATCGTGAGCCAGCTGGGAATGCTCTCATGAAGAAATTACGATTATGGTTAAACATCTGTTCCCGTTTTTGTTCATGAAGCTCGTTGATCACTTTTTCGCCAACGGAAAATATGTGAGAGGGTTTGGTGGCCGCTCTCGCATCAAATGAGACAAAATGTTCGCTGTGAGTATAAATTCCGAGTTTACTGAGACTTTCACAGATCTTTGCCTTTTTCTTCGAACTTCCTCGATCATCTTCGGAACCGGACTGCCCAGAGTCTGCATCTTTCCTCGAGATCACTGGTACCAATGTGTTGGAGGATGCCTTTTTCTCCAAAGTACCCGTGCTTGCGGGCGATAGTCCATTCGCAAGCGGACCATTCGTAGCCTCATTCGGGGCTTCTGACGCCTCTTTTAATTCCGGGGCCTTCTTGACCTTGACCAAAATTTTGTTGAGAAGTTCATCGAGTCTTGGAACCCTTTCCTCTGGATTGCATGATTCGAATGGAGAATCGAGTAAGAGACCATCCCATTCCTCCTTCATAATATCAACCATGACCTCCTGTTGTTCATGATCGGCATGAACTTCCAGACTGACTATAATTGGGAGAGGACTCGTAGTAAAAGCATTTTCTCGAATCGTTTTGCAGACTGCTCGGAATCCAACTGGTGCTGTCAAGGTCCAGCCATGTAAGACTAAGGGCTCTCCAAGCATCGATGATCGTATCGAGGCCGGTCGTCCACCATTCTCATCCTCATCCAAAACCTTAAGTTTATCTCCCGAACTTGATTTTGTAATCTTCTGTTTCGCACTCTCTAACTTTTCTTTGGCGCTTTCCATCTTCTCTTCCACCGTCAATATCGCTGCCGCAGCTCTGCTGGAAAGTGTACTTCCCGTTCCTGAAGGCTGTCGTTTATGATCGGCTTTATTCGAAAATATGGATTTGTCGTCTTTATCTGGTAGTTCTCCATTGTGTACATCTATCTCAATACATCGACAATTTTGTGTGAGAGCCTAATGGAAAGTGGCAGTTAGTAAGGAAGCTGAATCAAATCATCATCGGTCGACTGACTGTTTTATATGCTTCAGTCGAACTCCTCGACAATAACTGATTCCCTTCTAAATATGTATTGTGACTGCTACTGATGTAATAGTTGGTGATTGGTTTCGACTGATCTAATTCCGGTATGCGCTTCAACACCTCTAGTGAATCACTGTAAAATAGGGACTCGAGAAATTCTTCGACTTTGTATGTATCTTTATCGAGTTTGACTGTATGGCCTTGAACATCTGCCAACCATTCCTCGAAGCGTTCCCTTCCTAGACATGATTCGGAACCTGATAATTCGTCGAAAAGTTTTCGTAAATATTCTTGAATTTCGTGTGAGAGATAGGTTTGACGGGGAGGATCTCCTGGGGTCGTATTATTGAGAGGTTGAAGATGTACCCCATGGCCCGGCGTCACCATTGTCGACATAGCTACGAGTTTGTGAAGAGAGAAGTGTTTACCGGTGGGAGTGAGGAGAGGCATGGTAGTTATTCTAAAGTGAAGGCCAATGGTAATATTAGCAACTGAGTCATGATGTAACAAATTGGAAGAGAACCACAAATGAATGCAAAGACACTGGGTCTATCATTCAAGTTTCTTGGACCATCGTGGATGCAACTCATGTCGCGAGAACTACGGATACCGATGATTCTTGACGTGTTTCAATGGTATTAAGTGTAGCCCTGCTTGGTGGGGTGGAAGGGGGGAAAGGATAATCAAAGTAGATGATAAAAAAAAAAACACATACCTCCGAAGCTTCTTTCTGAAAAAAGAAGGCATCTCTCCTTCGCATGAAATTATGAAAAGAAGGATTTTGATGCTACATGAGTAGGTATATGATGAATGAGAGTACTAGGTATGCATGTGAGTGTGAGTGTGAGTGTGAGTGTGAGTGTGAGTGTGAGCGTGAGCGTGATTGTGTGTGTGTATGTGTATGTGTATGTATGGTGTTTGTGTATGTCTGTATGTACTGTATGATAAGGAATGATTACTTTCTTTTTCTCAACCTGACATGTAAAATCAGGGAAAGTTAATTGAAATGTTGATTCATCGGGATCATCAAGGGAAGGGGGCTATAAAACGAGGCCTCTCTTTCAGCTTATACTGGGTACAAATGGTCCTAACCTGGTACCGACATACCTACGTACGGACTTACTGGCTGGTATGAATTTGTTACTATTCTTATAGTGCTGACAAGGCTAGTGGGTATTGGTTGATCTGATGGGTTAACACAAGACAGAAGAGGATGGAGGGATAGCTCGAGTCTCGAGTCTTGAGTCTTGAGTCTTGAGTCTTGAATCTCGAATCTTGAATCTCGAATCATCCATAATATTGAAAATGCACCAGACCAGAGAAGAGAGAAACGAGAGAGATGTGGGTAAAGAGTGAATTTTGATTCATATTTATGTAATGTGTATGGATGAATGTATGGATGGTTTGAATAAATGAATGAATGAATGATTGAATGAATAAATACATATCTATTTTTAAATTGAAGACTTATTTAAAACCTTTGTTTCTTTATTGTCTAGTAGTCTCGTAGTCTACCCAGTCCAGTACTCAATACCTCCCTAGTACCTACCTAGTCCTCATCCACTTGATAAAATCCCGGCCCGTACCTTTTTTTCTTTGATTGGTATTTGCTTGGCTGATTTGACATTTTGATATCCTTGACCTGGGTACATAACCACACCAGCACTGGTATGAACACCAGGACTGGTATGAGCCGGATGACAATGTTGAAACCCTTAATACTTAATAAAGCGAATAAAGCTAAAAGCGCTGAACTACTCCGTATGAAACCTTCCAAAGCCCAGTACATTGAATGGTTCCTGGTTCATGCTACGGATATCAAGCTTTTTTTCAGGGTGGATTTTTATGGAGTACCTACCTAGGTACCTCTAGTAGTAGTTCAGGTCGTATCTACTAGGTAGGGACCTGGCTATTATCAACCATTTCATCTGATACACCAATACCTACAAAGTAGCTACTAGGTACCTCCAGCTAGCTATTATTTCAATTGCGCCTCAAGCCTCAAATCTCAAACCTCAACCTCAACCTCAAACTGCAAACAATTTAACAACACCACAACACCACATCACCATCATCACATCACATCACATCACATCACACCACACCACACCACAAAATACATCGCCACAATACATACACATACACATACACATACACATCACACACACAAAAAACCAAGCCCCTTTATCCAAAATCATGACTTCACAATCAATCCTTCAACCCGAACAAAAGGTTCGTTCCTGGGGCTTCTCAACCGTATACACGTGGTCCGATGGCCCGTAAGTGATTAACCCATTTAATCAATCATTCAATCATTCATTCATTCCATCATTCCACCATCTACTGTACATCATACATACATACCTACCTACACAGCCTCAACTCCACTCCATCCACCCATCTACTCCGTACAGATTATCCATCTCCACAACAAGGCTGAGTAACCTTTTCATCTCACATTCTTCATTTCCAGAAACACCCACTACACGCCCCATTCCCACAACACCCTGACCACCCATCTTGTTACCGCAGGACAATTGACCATCACCTATCCGCGCGAAAAGGATGCGCCAAAACTGACCTATGGCGTGGGTGAGCGAATTGATGTGGAGAAGGGGAGGGTTCATGAAGTGTGGATGGGAGATGAGGGGTGTACATATGTGATTGGAGAGTAAATGGATGAAAGAGATGTTTGAGTTTATAAGGAAATTTGTAGATGGATAAATGATGATGTATGGAGTATTTGGGTTTGCATGTACCTGGGTATTTATCTAATCTAGGTTACAAATGAACAAATAAATAAATGAATAATTAATATGCAAAATAAAATGATAATCACACTACCATCAATAACACCAATAACCCACTCCTATCAATAAACATAAGCATCCATACTCCATAGAGTACACAACCACAACCACAACCCATCCAGCCATCCAGCACATCAACATCAAGCGCGAACAACAATTCCACACACTCGCGTCACTAGTGAGTAACAAATCAATTCTCATCATCCCATCATCTCATTCCATCCCATTCCATCCCATTCCATCAAAACCATACTCTACAAATCGAAAATGCATTCATTATCCAGTCCAGTAATCCAGTCCAGTACCTATCCAGTATCCCCCAACATCACAATATAAATGTCTCAAAAAAAAATCCACACTCTTAATTACCTAGTACATATATACATATACTCCGTACACATATCATTCATACATCCCACCCATTCATCTATTCATTACTCAATGCTCATCCATTTACCTAAATAGATATTTATCATCCAATCTACTCGAATCCAATCTACTCCAGCGCCTATCCACCCACCTAGTATTCACTACACATTATATACTATACACTACACACTACACACTACATACTACACACTATACACTATACATTATACATTACACACTACACACTATATACTACACACTACACACTACACACTACCCACAACAACAACAACAACAACAACAACAACAACAACAACAACAACAACAACAACAACAATACAACAATAATACAAACAACAGATACCTACCTACTACCTATCTACCTATCTAATTACACAGAAAGGCCCGCGGTTGATGTAACAAGAAGTCGTTGTAATACTGGCAATCCATATACCTACCTACCCATCCATCCAATTCTTCTTTACAGACAAATTTCACTTCCTTCTAAGCCAATCAATACCTTGAGATAAATCTCATCTAATCCAATCTTTCTTTCGATTGTATTTCTATATCCGTATAACAAACCTACCTAGGTAGGTCTACCATGAATAGTCACGAGGATTGTGCGGTTCCTAGACCTACCTACATCCTTCAATTTACCAGAACAACAAGTTCTAAATGTTCAAAGTGAAGAAAAATATATACCTCCTCGCCACAAAATTTACTATTGTGTTACTATTATGACATGAATTTTCCATCATCGTCACAACACCCAAAGATATCACCCACCTCTAATCCCACCACCTTTCATCCAACCCCTCCAAAAACTTAATATCAACATAACAAACTCCTCCACAAATCCACCTCTTGTCTCCACGGTCTCATTTGAACCGCAAACGTCACTCCCGCCACATACTTGGCCAATTCCTCTTCATCCTTCCCCATAACCAAATACTTATCTCTCTTCGCCACTACCTTATCTCCAAACTGTTTCTTGTACGGTTCAATCCGATTCTTACAATTCATATGCATGCTGAATTCCGAGTGCGGTAGATCCTTCGGAACAAATAACCAAGTAAACGTACGACCCGTAAGATCGTAAAAGGTAAAACCATCACGCTTATCGTGGCCAACCGTCAAAGGATAAAAGTAGGGGGCACTCCATAAGCGAAGCACAGCGAATTTGGCATTGGGATTGGCAGTCGAGAATTTTTGGGCGGTGTGAAGGAGGGGTGGGACCTTGAAGGGATCTGCCACCCAGCTTGGCACTTCGAGATCGGGAATAACCGTACGCCAATCGACAAAAAAATCGGGTGTAGAAGGACGATGCGGCTCTGTACCTTGAAATGCTTGACAGCTGGCTGCTGATGATGCATGACTGCGAACAATCCCAGACTTGTAGACTATAAGAAACATGTTAGTGGATAATGTGCAACATACACCAATATGGGGTGACTTGCGTTTTTGCAATGATAGGTCGAATCGTCATATCCCATTCCAGAGGAAATTCCGAATAATCATCTGTGGACCGCATTTTCTTTCGAAATTCATCGAGACTGGCATAAAATTCCTTGGGCTGGCTGATCGTAGATTTGTCTGTTCTGATGTCTGGATAATTCCGGGCTCGTTCCTCCTGCTTGAATATCAAAGATTCTTTGAATCCCTTTCCAACTTCCGTGTCAAGGAATTCCGAATTAAAGAATGGATATATCTTACCCATAGCTTTCTCTGCATCTTTAACATCATCGGCTGTCACTTTGAGCCAACTCATGACCCGAAAATTGAGTATTGTTGAAGATGCTTTGAAGAAAGGTCTACGAGAATGGTTGTATCTCCAGGATCTGTGGGTCAACTTCTTCATTTCTAAATACCGCTCCTGTCCATTGGGAGTCATGTCTGCTTGGTGCCAGGCTTTTTTGAAATCTATTCAGTAAATTAGTCTCAATTTGATTGTGAGGAGAGGATATTATCATACTTCTAGATGATGTCTTTTCGATAAACTTCATGAATTCTTCTTGTAGATCTTCATTGGGATAGTCATCTTTGTACGTCTTCTCCATGGCAAGTCTGTGTACAGTAGGCCGTAGATCTTTAGGGAATTCTTTTGGAAAGACATCAAATCCATCATCGTCCTCCTCCTCATCATCGCTGTCGTCCTCGAAAAGGCTTTCGTGATGCCCTTGACATCCACCTTCAGAATTTTTAGTGATGCCCGAATCTTCGTCTTCGGAATCTTCCGACTCCCAATTCCAGGTTCCATCTACGAATCTTTTTATTGAAAAGTCTTCCTCCTCGAACGCTCTCAATGAATCCTTTTTGCCAACGGCCGGTTGAGCAATGGATTCCTCTTCTGCTCGCTCCTCAGGAAACAAGACCTCATCTTCTAGAGCATCTGCTTTATTGTAAAAGAGATTACTTGGCCATGAGTCTGTTGGCTCAGTTGGCATACGATCTGGTCCATCAATGTCACCATAATAGAATTTTGATCTCCCATCTTGAAGATAATCCCATTGGTTTACGAACTGTTGGGGATCACCTGGTCTGACATCCCGATAATGGCTATCTTCGTCTCGATAGAGCGTTTTTAGAATGGAAGCAGCTGGCTTATACATCTCTTTACCTGTGGTAGCCCGGATGGCTTTGATGAGCATCTAAGCTTTGTTAGTAGAGCTTTGAGAAGGCCAGTGGATGACAAGACTGACCTGTTGAACAGTATTATACAATGGAGCTAAACTTTCTCCAGGCTCGAGATCCCAAACATAAACATCGTAATAATCGTTGAAAGAAAAGTTCCATTCGCGATGACGATCCATCTCCTCGAAGAATTCAGGTCCAATTCTTTTCATGACATTCCATACATTTTTGACAGCTCGTCCAAGACCGCTCTTCTCTCGCCATAGCCATCGCTCTTCTTCGGGAGGCTTGACTAACAACTTACCACTTTCAGCATCTCTCACAAGCAGAACTAAACGATGACTTTGCATAGACAGATATTGAATAAAACGGCGACTTGATGGATCATTCCGTTTGATATTGGCACAAATTACGTTCCTTGCTTGGAATATAGCATGTTGACGACGGGTTTGTTTGCTACGACCCCCTTGTGAGAAACTGACACTAAGCTCTTTGGCGTCTGGATCTGAACTTTCATAGTACATGATGAAGCCCTAGTTATCGCGTTGTTAATGAAGCGTTCATGGGTAGAATTGACGAAACTCACCAGTTGTAAAGCTTGCTGCTTCAATCTATTTCCAACCCAAGAAGCCCAGTTTGAAGCAGGAAAGTAACCCCAGCAAGCCAAAATGTTCAACTCAAAGAACTCTTCCCAATTTCGACATAACTCAATTGCAGTATTGAGATTACTATCCCTTGCGATGATGGAGAAATGTAACCAACCTCCACGAGTCATTGCTTTATCACTAGGATAATTCCAGATCATTCTACCACAAATTTTCACACGGATCTTCTTGCGCACTTGCTGGGAATTTGTGGAATCGCCGAAATCAATCGCACCACCCTCCATATCCCCCATAATGTTTTGCATAGATGGAGCCATCCCAAGCATGTTTTGAGCCGCCTCTTCTCGAGAAAGCTCCCGCTTTGAACGCCATGTTCCAGGTAATTCACCACGCTTTTTCCGGATCAACCTCATCTTGACATCATAAGGATCAACAGCTTTAGATTCGGGTCTTTCTTGATCATCAACATCCTCACTTTGGGTCTTTATTTCAGGATCCTCCTCCTTTTCATCGTCCGATCGAAAGAAGTCTGCACATGCATCCCGGATTTCTTGAAGACTAGGTTTCTCCATTTTAAGACAAACATCTCTCAGGGCGGTGCCAGTCACTTCTTCATCTTGAAAGAAAGCTTCGATACTATCAGCGCGGAGAGCCGCCGGAAGTAAAGCGGCGTGTGCAAGTAACAATCTACAGAACAACAAGTGCTTAATCTCGGACACCTCGTCAAGCAGGCGTGTGATTTCGAATTCTGTAAACGTTCGAGTTGTTGTTTGGACGTGAGGATTTTCCACCGTTCCAGCTACCATGGGCCCCCGAACATCATCAAGGTCAATTTTTATTCCATGAGCCAACCTGTGATACATGTCCTCTCGACTTTCGATCAGAGATTTATCAGGTAACTCTTGTGGCTTGGGTGTTAGTTTACTTGTCTTTGTGGAAAGAGAAGGCGTAGTTGTCGTAGTTGCCGTAGCTGCTCCTCCATTCTTCTTCTTCTTCTTCTTTTTTGACTTTTCGGTAACACCAGCGGACTCGATTTGGGCCACAAGCTCGTCAAGTTCGTCGGTACTATTTGCGTTGAGATTTGGGTTCTGAGATACTACATCATTCTCGATCACAACTTCTTTGTCAATTTCCGTTGATGAGGGTTCGACAAGTTTTAGATCTTCTTCCGAGGATATCCATAAGAAATGCCGCATGAGGTCTTTAGGAATGGCCAGTTAGCATCTGTGAGATAAAAAATGTGAAGCATGGACTTGTAGCTCTACGCATGGAAGATCGTGATGTCAATATCAACATACCTATAAATCTTCCTCGTCCATCCTCCAACTCATCCTCAATAGGATCCCAATCCATATCGTCATCTGTGCCCTCATTCTCTTCTATCTCCTTCATCTTCTCCTTGTATATTCTCTCCAGAAAAGTATCTTGTTTCTTCTTCTCTTCCCTTCTCATTTTCTCCTCCATTCTTTGCTTTGCCTGCTTCCAATTCCTCTGCCATAGCTGTGCCTCTTGCTTTATTCTCTTTTGTTCTTTCTCCCGATGTGCTTCTTCATCATCCTGGCATTCTCGTACCCATTTGAACCATTGTTGGTTTTGATATAAAATCTGGAGAGAAACAAAGTCAGCACAAAGTCCGCAAAGATTGCCGCATATTGACACACCTCTGTAGTTCTCCTTTCGAGTTTTTCTAATGCATAGGTAACATGTATTTTCTGATTCTTAAGCTGGTCCAAGAATTTCGCATGCCCATAGTCCATGTTCTGACTGAAAAATCGACTATGATGCAGCTTCCTCGCTCTTATCACTCTTTCCAGTAGTTGATACTTGGTCCATAACCAATCATGTAATTCCTTACATTCCGCTTCCGTTGTAACATCCTTAAAATTCTCATTTCCAAGAGCAGTTTTCGTATTTGCAAGGTATGGGGGTGGGGTTTTGTCTAGTCGTTCAAGCCGAGCTGTACGAAGTTTGTATCCACGATAAAGACCTGAAGGTCATTGTCAATTGTGTTGAACTCAATGGAGATTTGTGGCAAAATGTCAAATGGATTGCAAATATTAAATACTTTCGGATATTGAGATCTCGGCTCTGTCCGGGGTGTTTCTGGGGATATACCTTGACATTGTTTAGAGTGGAAGCTACAAAATAATCCATTCACAGATGTAGCATTTTCCAAGCATCGTTTCTCATCGGAAACATTCAGTGCATTGCACTGTGGTGAAGAATTGGTTTCCATTGCCGTACTTCAGAAAATTGTAAATGTTTGGAGCTTTCTCCCTCTCATGTACGACTACGACAACGACAACGACATTTCCAAGAAAAAGCTACCGGTATGCCGGTACCAGTATGTTAAGTGGGGAAGAGGGTCTTGATTGATCTTGATAGGGAGAAACGCGTTTCGCGTTTGTGTTATTCATGATAGCTCCAAGCTATGGAATATGTCATAATCATTTACAACGGTTTGGATGGGATTAACACAGATGATTAAAATGATGCTCTTTGATACATTAATTACAATTATCATCGATCTTTGCTCGGTTGTAGACTTTCGGCAGAAATTAGAAAAATATTCTGATACGACCACGGCACAATTACTTAATCCACACGCATCCTGCGAAATTACCCACAATCCCTAGGACACCAACAGTGCGTCAATATATATTCACAAACCACGCCACTCCTCCATTCACACAGCCCGTTTGGCTTAGCGGTAAAGCGCATCACTAGTACTTGTGAAAATCGCATGGTTATGATGAGATCCTAGGTTCGATTCCTAGAACGGGCAATGATTTCGTTCTTTTGCATCCGTCTTTCATGGCTACTCTTTTTGCGATCATCTGAAGAAATCGGAAGAAGAACTCGATGGTTTTGCCTCTTCGGAAGTAGCATTTACTCGTACGATGTGAGACTTTGGGAGGAGGTAGAGTGTACGCTCCGCTTTTCACTGAAAGAAAATTCTTGGCACTTTTTTGATCAATCTTTGCTTAATCAGCACTTCCAAAAATCCCAAAATCGACGAAATCGCCCTTTTGGAAGAGGGCAGGCAGTACTGTGTGTCAGCATAATACACCTGTTTCTTCCTCATTTATCTTTCTTTTCCTCATATTTTGACATACTACATGCCCGCCTTCTAATACGAAGACAAGCTCTTGCTGTATGTAATCAATCGACATCAATCATTCATCACTTCCACCACAGCATTTATTCATTTTGAGTTTGTATAACATGTTTCTTACAGAAGCTTTTTCTTCCCGTGTTTGTTCTGCTTGTTTCAATGCCGCCTTTTCTTGTTATTTAGTAAATGCCATGTTGCCAGTTTTTATCGTACTTGTTTACAAACGGACGGAGAAAGCTCAAGGTTAATGGGCATCTACTGCTTATGAGTATGAACTAAGACATTCTCCTGCGTACTGAATGTGGGTAAAGGTCTTCACTCACTAGGCTAATGAAGCGGCGTTGGAGTGTCATATTTCTTGATGTTCTCACTGAAGAGATTCAAATGATTGTGAGTGCTGATAGTGCAAGCATGGCAATGGTGAAGAGTAATGGTGGTGATATCCATAATGCCTTAACAAGAGCTCCTGATTTTAATACAAACCAGCTCCATTTCAATATGTGCCTCAATTATTGTACTGTACCTGAGGACTTTTTTAATTTTTATTTCATTGCATATATGTTGAAGGAAATTCATACGATGTTCCTAATTCTGGTTGAAGATAAATAATTTCTCATTGTGTGAAGTTTCAACAATCGGAAAATTAGTCGGAAGCTTGTGTCTCCCATAATCCTGTTCAGTTGCCGTTGATATGTCTAGTGTATCTCGAGTCAGAAAGGCTCAGCCCTCGATGCATTTTCGTAAGATACCATACCAGTCAGATGGCAAGTCCTTTATATGGTGGGTGTTGGAAAGAACCAATGTACACAGCTTAATTTGGCAAAACTTTATCCCAAGATATTGACGATCAGATAACGCATCGAAATCTGTCATTATCTGACATTGTTGGACGAAGCTATTCAATAGATCACAGTATTATTTTCCACCCAAAAAGTCCCTTGTACTACCCCCCTTAGGTAACTCGTCTAACATTCCCAACGATGATTACGCTTTGTACGAGGCGATAGATCGTAAACATATAGCAAATTACTCAGGTGAGTCAATGACAACATTTATTCATTTACAAAACTCCCCGAGTGGTGAGCTGGTCCTTTTGCACGTGTAATGAACTACACCGAAGAGCATGGAACGGGAAGAGACAATCTGGGATTCACCCTATGGGCTGTTAAACACGATGCCATCTGATAAGGCAGCATTGTGCTGGAAGCTACGGATCTACTTTACGAGAACAATTTAGATGATGATCAAGATAATAGATTCCAACAGCATGTTTCTGATACTCTTATCTTAGGTACATCAGTTCATCAATAAGAATTTGACCCAGATCCTTTTCTCATTTTCTCCATCTTACCAACTTCCAAACTCGAAAGACATGGCATTCCTTCCTTATATCGAACCAGGGCTTGACATCATACTTCCTCTCTCCATCTTCATATTCATTCTCAACATAACCCGCGACCTTCTCGATTCCTTCCTCTATTGCGGACTCATTGGGGAAATATTTATCGGGGTTCTCTCTGGAATACCTATCACCGGAACTTCGTTTCTCAGCATAGAAATCCAAGAAACAGTACAATATCTCGGATATCTGGGGCTCATCTGTTTGGTGTTTGAAGGTGGCCTCATCACAGATCTTCATATATTAAGAAACACAATATGGTCAACATTGTCCGCTGCGATGATTGGAATCCTAATGCCGATGGCTCTTTCATTTTTCATCATGAGTATGAAATTCGATAGTATTGAAGGTTCAGGATATCCAACCGCATTAGCAGCTTTTTCAGCAGGAGCATCTCTCTGCTCCACATCCTTAGGGTCAACTTTCATTATTCTCGCATCCGCAAACCTTCAGAGAACACCAATCGGTACTTTGATAGCTGGCGCGGCAATGCTAGATGATATTCTTGTCCTCGTGATGGTTAAAATCATAACAGCACTCGGACACTTATGGAAAGGAATATTCTACGCTTGCTTGATGTTTCTAGCCAAAGCTTCCGTGGGACTAGTTGTCTATTTCGAATTCTCCACCACAAGGTGGTCTCACAAGTGGACAGAGTTCAAAAAGAAAACACTTCCAATACCAGAAGAACTTCCCCAACAAGACGGTTCACCAGAAGAAGTCGCTACAAACGATCTCGCAAATCAAAAATTAAAAACAGACCCCCCTCATCTCGATGCCATTATAGTAGGGTCCACAATGATTGCTCGAGGAGGCTTTGGCTTCCTGGTAGCTTCAGAAGCGCAGAGCTCAGGCACCTTAAGTCTCTCCAAAACGCCAATCAGGATCCTAAATATGCAACTTCACTCGCACAAAGATGCCGGGAGATTGAGAACATTAGATGTAGTCGAAGATCAAATATTCTTGGTGATAATCTGGGCTTTAGTTTTATGTACGATCGTTGGACCGGTTGTTTCGGGGATTGCAGTGAGAAGAAAACTGGTCAAAGAGAGGGAAGGAGAGAGGTGCGAGTGTGGTGTTACAGTTGGGCTGAGAATTTTTGGGACTGGGGACGAGGGGTTAGGAGGATGTCATCTTTGCTTGTAAAGGTGCTTCAGTGGATTGGGAAGTGTATGAGAAAAGCAAGACGGAAGACGAAATGTATCATGATAGAAAGTTAGAGTTTGAGCGAAGCATTGAGTTATTATTATGAGTACGGGTCAAGACAAGCACCGCGACCATCGCGATGCTCTTTCCTGTTCCAGAAAGGAAACGTTGCGCGATATCGGTTTGATACCGCAATTTCACATTCGTTATAGACTGATTGATTGATTGATTGATTGATTGATTTCATTTACGTCCACCTTCAGTCTAAGACTATATAGGACGGCTAGGCCTCTAGAGGCTCTAGCGAATAACTTTTTATTCTATAAAAATAGATATATACAATTTAGGGAAATAAAAATAAATGCTAGGAAATAGTGCTCGCTTATTATACACATTATATATAATAAGAAAATTATGAAAATCAAGAAATTTTAAGGAAATCAAAGCCTTCTCTTATTTCTCTAATTATTTCTTTTTTATTTTCTTCTCCTCTCTTCTTTTTTACTATTATTCCTTTCTCTATCTTGTTTTGTATAAAAGCTCTAGTTAGATATTATACTCTTATAGTGATTTTAATGATATTAATGAATTTAATAACTAATTCAATATTTATTTTTGTATAAAATAGAAATTATATAATAATCTTAGATAATAATATATTCTTAAATATTTCTTTTCTTTTTGCTTTATATATATTTATTTTATTTTATTTATTTATATTAATTAACGTCTGTTTTGGACCTCCCTAAGGGTATTTAGACGTGCTAAGATAAGGAACTATTTGAGCGGCGTGATCGTCGCTTGCTTTATATATAGAATAACTAATAAAAAGATATTATAGAGCCTCAATATTATCACATATACATTTGTTATCAAAGAGTTTGAATTGATATAAATAAGATTTGATATATCCATAATCTAATTTGAATTGAAAATATATACTAGCAGTATTTCACTTGATTTTGCTTAATAACTTAATCTTTAATTCTATCTTTTATAAAAATAACTTTGAATAAATCAAAAAGGATTGATTTAATCTGAATTTGTATTAATTGAAAATAGAAAGTTATTAATCTGAATTGTATTTTTTGATTATTATATTTAAAAGTCCAAAACTTGTTTTGTTTGAAATAGAATATATTGTAATTATTTTCTTTACTAGTTTATCTACTAGCTTATTTCCTTTTATTAAAATATATTCTGGAATCCAATTTAGAGATATTTCAGTTCCTTTTGCTTTAATAATTTCTATTGCTTTGATTGCTCGAATCTGATAAGTTTGTTTAGGGTGGTTTGATAGTGTTTTTAAGCGATATAAATTAGTTTGGTTATCCGAATATATCTTGAATTTATTGCTAATATAGGTAATTATACTAGTATATTCAATAGTTCTAGTAACTCTATAAAGCTCTCCATTATATATTAATTGATTACTACTAATATTCAATTATTATTGATATGAAATTCGATTATTTGATTGTATTGCAATTATACCTATATCTATATCTATTCCTTTTTCAATAGAAAAGGTATCAGTATAAATATAGATAATATCCTTATCTTTATAATTGAAAACGATATTGTAAAGAATAACAATATTTTCTTTTGATGAATTACTAATATTAATTCTGAAGGGAATTTCCTTTTTCCATAGAGGGAAGTTGAAATGAATAATCTTTTCAAATGAAATAGAATTGAGATTCTGATTTATTAATTCTCTAATTCTATCAAATTGAATTGATTTATATCATTTTCTTTAAGGAGTAGAAATTACTTCTAAATTGATTTGATATTAAACTGATATTTCTTTTTTGATATTGATTGAATAGTTTAGTAAGAATTTAACTAAACGAAATATATATTGCCTGATATTTGAATCTAATCGAATTTTTAAAAACTTTAAGCCTGCTTTTATTTTTATTAAAAGGATTGGGACTGTTTTGAAAACTTCTAATATTTTTCAAAAAACTAGGTTTTGAAGTGATTATATTATATTCTTGAAATGAATTTAATCTCTCTATCAAATCACTAATCCGTAATTAGCTATATTAGTTATATATACTATATATAATTATCTAAGAGCTTTAGGGCCTCCGGATTTAAGCAGATCCGAAGCGACTCACATGTATTCGATGTAGAAGCGATAGGAGCATGACGCGGATTGGAGCATCTAATCACTATGCTTGAAGATCCCTTGAACAGCTGGATCTGAATGTGTATTGATAGTATATCGGTTATCTAGAATATATACGGAAATGCACTGCCTACAATATAATAAGCTTTCTATAAGTATTACAAAGTAATGAAATAACTCAATATCAGAATAAAATGATTATCTGGATATATAAAGATTGAAGATAATAAGAAAGCAGATCACTTAGCAAATATAAATACAATTGGACCTATGGACTAAACAATCGATAAGCTATTAACAATCAATAGGATCCGAACGATTATTTGTCAGAAATACCTATATATAGAATCTATCTAATAGAAAGAAATGAACTCCTCTTTTTTCGCTAGTTATAAGAAATGATCTCCTAAATATAATACAAAAGAGCCAAAGAAATTAACTTTATTAAAAGTAATCTTATATCAACTGATAACTATAAAAACAGACCACAGCAATTACACCGCTTATCATCAGCGATTTGGTTATCAAAATAACAAGCTAGATTATTTATATAATAATATCAAAAAACCATATCACTTCTTTAAATACACTATAAACAATCTAAAGTATTTAGATTAACCTCTTGTCTCTATAAAAATGTAATTTAACAAGCAGATAATTATATATATCAAAAAACTCTTACATATACCTAACAAGCTCACTCAACTAATCACCGATTCAGAATTCTACACTCAGATCTATTCTAATTATTAAAGGACCCTTAAAAAGCAATAATCTTTTTAATAAAGCTTACTATCCACTCCTTATAAACTCACTATTCAATTAATCACTTGAATACACTATACCTCTAAAAACCGCAAATCTAATATATAATATAAAAGCCCTATTACTCAATTAAACAAATAGTAACCCACTTTCGCTTCTTTTCTTTTATTATAAGGATTAAAGCCTATAACAAGCCTATTCACCCAGGAATTAAGTTTTGTTTTAATAACAATTCGGATCAAACATTCCCTTCTGGAAACAGAAGCGGATCGCATCTGCAGAGAAGCGAATAGCCCCTAGCATTAAAGTTAAATTGCTAAATTCGATCGTGACGATCACGCCGCTCAAATAGTTCCTTATCTTAGCATGTCTAAATACTCTTAGGGAGGTCCAAAACAGACGTTAATTAATATAAATAAATAAATAAAAAATAAGAGCTTTAGGATTAAGGCCCTTTTTGATATTAGCTAATCGAGCTATTTAATAAAAGGTACCTTTTGTTTGTATAATTCGAATATTAATATATTAATCGAATTTGAAATTCAGATCAAATCATATTCCTAGTCATTTAATAAAAGATTGGGGTACAATTATTTCCGAATTGGATAGTATAATTGAATATTTTTTTGTTAATTTGGATAATGAAAAGTACATTAGCTTTGTTTTTGCTAAATCAAATTGGATTGTATTTCTAAATTGAGTTTATAGATTTGTTTTGTAATTCTTTTTAGGATTTTGATATTCTTTTTTTATATAAATGAATATATAATTAAAGTAATATTATCTATATAGAAAAGAAACTTAATTGAATTAAATAAAAAGAGCTTTTTGATATATATAAGGAAAAGAATTGGAGAAATTAGATTGCCTTGTGATATTCTAGTCAAAATTAGCTTGAAAGATTCGATTTGATTATTAAAAGATAGTTTCAATTGTTTTTATTAAAGAAATAAGACTATCCAGATTATTAGATTTATGGGCAATTTTAGTTTCTTACAAATATCTAATAATCGATTTTTCGAAATATAATCAAATATTTTCTTTATATTTATAAATAATATTAAGATCTTTTTATTAGTTTACTTATTTCTTTTGATTTCTATAGTTAATAAAAGTATAATATCAATTGCTGATTTCTTTTGATATCCTTCTATTTGACTTTTATAAAGAAAATGAATTGTTTTTGTTAAATATTCTAATTATTAAATTAGAATTCTTTTGCTTATTTTATTCAAACAATTTAAAAATACAATTACTTTATATACTTTTAGAAGGGAATAATCTGATTTGGAAGCTTTCTTCAGAATAGTTTTTATAATTTGTTTTCAATATTTTGAGTAATATTCTAGATTAATAAGTTTATTAAAGAGAGTAAAAAAGATTTATAGAATTACTTTATAAACCTTTATAATAATCTCTTAAATGATTTTATTTAAATTAAGGGTTTTTCCTTGGATTTTGGCTGAATAGATATTGTTTAATTCGATTTGAATGAGATTAGGCTATTTCTATTACTTGGATTATTTATACTTTTCTTATTATGATTTTGGGGTAATAAAAGGGGATGGAAATAGAATTAATCTGAAAACAGAGTATTTTTCTTTAAAAAAGCTTTTTGTTGTAATATTCAATATTCTTTGATTTTGAAAGTCTTTAATATAAGCCATTACTTTGAAAATTATCTTTATATTCTCTTTTTCTAAAAATTTATTCTAATAATTCTTTTTTACTATTTTAATAACTTGAAAATATCTATTTCTAGTAATTCGATATTCTTTCTTAAAGCTATAATTCTCCAGATCTGATTTAATTCTTTACTTTACTTTTTCTAACTCTTTTCAAAAATCTTTCAATTCAAATATCCACTATGATTTAATTCTTTTAATTAAAATAATTTTAGATATATATCTTTCTATTACTTTTTAAATAATTCTAATAAATTTGCTTATTACTTAATCTAAAATTAAATAATAATTATCTTTATTTTTCAAAAAATTTAAGAAATCCTTTTTGATTGGAATAATTAATTCTAAATTAAATAGAATAAGGGAATATAAGGATTCCGATTTGAGTATTGATTCGAACTTTTCCCAATTCGCTA